AAAGGATTAGGGAAAAGATTCAAGACATCTAACGCCGATTTCATAATAATGAAACAAAAAAGTAATATTGGCACTAGATTCCCATTTTTGTAGCAATTTTACGTATTACATACATACATACATACATTAGCATTTTGGACGAAACTATTTGAAGGGGGACGAGGAAGGTTTAAGTTACAAAATCAATTTATTGTCATTTCACAACTTTGGTAAGGGATTTAGAGAGCAAATTTATGCGGGTAACACATTGTGCATCAAAATATTTGACGATTTCTTAAAGAACACACAAGTTTTAGTTTGGTTTTAGGTACTTTTGTAATACTGCTATTATATAAATATAGCATCGATACAAATACCTAGCGATAAGACAAAATTTATACCACATTTTCCTAGTTAAATATAACCATCATTATTTTGTCTTGGGCGTCTATTGTTAAATTATACTCATTTATCTATTTTGATTACAAATTCAAGTGTTAACCCTTGGGGAGCCTGGTAGGTAAAAATCACATGGCATGCCTGGTGGGTCTCACAGACCCGTAAATATAAATGGTTATTTTTATTTATTTTGATGTTATAAACTATAATAATATTATATAATTTATATTAAATATTATATATTAATGAAAAAAGAGAAAAAAAGACGACAATACATTATAATAAAGTTTTATTACTTAAGCAAATAAAAAATCTCTCGTTTTTGGGTAACAATAACATATCCTTAAATTAACAATATTAAACTCTTTTTAATTGAGATCAAAATCAGTCTTCACATTAATATAAGGCATAGATGAATAAACTTTGGTTACTAAAGTAAGATTAACTCAGTATTTGTGCGACAATTTTCGCATATAAATTTGCGTGCTCCAATCAAATATGACCTGTGCAAGAAATACAAATGTACTTAGATTTACGGCCCTTTTTAGCAAGGCATATGTAACAACGTCTTTTTATAGCAGCATCTTGTCTTTTAGCTGGTGTCTCTGAGAGTTTTCCTCTATGAGAGCTAATTCTCATCCTTAGGTTAATCGGAAACCACGTCATCCTCAATTTCATGGATCTTGATCTAAAATTTGCCTTATTTCGGTATTGGCTAATCGCCTGGCCATATTTAGTTAACTGCGAAAATATTATACAGATAAATAATTTACCACACAACGCAAAATAAATAATGAAAACAAAAATAATAACTTACCAGTTAAAAGTTACGCCGCGTGCCTGGTCGGGTTTCTCAGACCCGAGCGCACATAAAACACGTGTTACTAGAACGCGTGTGCGTTGTGGATTGCTGGAGGGGCGGCAATCTAGCCGCCAGTCTATATCACGAAGCTACTTAGGCATACAGCGGCGGTAATTACGAAATTTCTAAAATATTGTCGATTCTTTAAGGTGATGGGTCTGTCAGACCCACCAGGCACCCCAAGGGTTAAGATATTTAAAATTTTACTTAACAAATTATTATCGCAGAGTACACATTAACTTGAATAATAAGAAACCGTCAAATAAATTCTACTTTTGATTAAAATCTCACAAACAATGAGAATTAATAAAATTGTGGTGAGACAGATAAAGGTGTGGTCCTAATATCAGCGGGTACAATTCAGAAAATACAATTTAATTAGCTTCGTCTCATATTACTTTGTATTTCGATAAGTAATACTTTGTATTACGATATTCAGCGTTAATAATTTTTCCCGAATAGACGAGTGAAAGATATAAACAAAATAATCCATTAAGTCAGGGGCCCCTGAAGTGACTCCAAACTAGTGGAGTAACCTCTTCGAACAGTTACATGAGTAAGATGTATAATTTAACAAATTTAATATGTATCACGATATCCACAAGACGGTTGGTAGTGGTTGGATGCGTAAAGCTGAAGAGCCAGCTAATAGAAAAGTCTATGTCCAACAATGGATGTACACGAGCTGATGCTGATGTATCAGGATTTATCCAAAAAAGTAGTTAAGTACTCCAGTAAAATTAATATTCACTCAGTATTCATTCATTTTGAGTACTAATTTATCCGAAAAATTCACATCTGTAATCACGATAGTTATAATACAAAATGAACCAGTAGAAAACCAGTCTCACAATATCCGCTCAGCTTATATACCCGCCGTTACTAAGACCACAACCTCATATAAAACTTCTTTTATCTCTTGCTCTTAAAATATATTTTCATAATATACTTGGTTACCAAAGGTGCGTTCTTACTAACAAACGATATAATGTGGTGATTTCTTTATTTTGATATGAATATTGTGTGCAGTAGTATGAAGCGTCCTTTTATTGTCGGTGATATTTTGAACATTTTCCATAGAAAGTAAGTTTGATTTTTATAATTCGACTTATTTGGGCAATGTTCATTTATTAACTGTTAGTAAAATAATTTTACTAGCTAAATATTTCATTATATTAATAAAGAATACGTATATACATACGTTTGTGTATGTTTAAAACCCCACCGACAACAAACCGCTCACAATCTAAACTAAAAATATACATAGAAATCTTAATTATAAATTAATCATAAAGTAATACATTTTGAATATATTTTTAAGAATCTTCCCATTTAAAGTATATATTTTTGACTAGTGAATAAAAATTACACCTATTCGTAAATATTTAAGTAAAATACGAAAGCTTGAGTATGACGCCCCCTGACTTTTGTCTCACTCTAACTTGGTGAGGTGTGAGTGAGAGGATACTACATACTTCATACTCGGTCTTGTAGGCCTATTGATGCGCTTTAACTTTTAATTTCATGACTTTAAAGTTCAATTTTGAATGGGAATATTTAATACATACATAATTTAAAAATGAGATTCCATTTTAATACTAGGTACAAAATCTAGCTATCTAGATATTTCTGTCGATTTATACAAAGACAGATTTTTTCGCAATAGTAGAGAAATAGGGGTTGAGACAGAGTAACTTCACAGTCTCGCCAAGTCTCGTTTTGACTTTAAATAAATATTTTTGACTGACGACGAATCTCGCTGTATTAGTTACTTTCACATCTCATATAAGTTTTCATCAAAATAAAATATAAACTAATACAATTTCAACATATTGACAAGAAAAACATAGTCTTTGGCGTTTTGAGCAAAAAGTGATGTGTTTATGGCATCAACTAGCGGTACTAAATCGCGCTTTCATTAGTTACAGGTTCTTTTTTTCATATACAAAGACTAAGAAGGAAATGCAATAAAGATGGAGTCCTGCTTAGATTGGGCCACTTTATTAGGAGAGATTTTATATAACTAGAGACAAGGAAAAGAGATGTATTAAGTGTAAGAAATACTAGTAACTGGGAATCTAGAAGACTTAGTTTACTTACAGACTCCATCTTCAATGTATTTCCGAACTACCTTAGTAATCATTGCAAATCGTAGACGTTAAAATAATAATTTTCAAAGATTAATGATAGATTCACAATGATCACAAGCCAGTATTATTTCTAGCAATATTAATGGTGACTATAGAATATTGGTTACATCATATAATGTCAATTCCCTAATAAGTATGAATACCCTACACATCCTTACATACAAGTATTACATACAAATCATACGTATATTCAATATTTTTTGTTATTTCATACATAAAAGTAAATACGCAATATAAATAAATGCATTTTATGGCAAAATGTAGGAATGTTGCGCTGACCTATTTGTTTAATAAAAACTTTATGCGATAATGAGTTTGAAATCGATACGAAATGTATCGATTAGTAAATGTACCGGTACTGAATGTATCGATTGGCGTCTACTGACAATAGTCGACTAATTATGTCATTTGAAATAGAATTTTGAGCATTTCGGTAGAGTCCTTATTTGAACAAATTGTTGGTCAATAATAAACGCGTTAAGTGAGCATTCTATGAGCATGGTTGGTTAAGTTTTGGTCGAATATCAATGAGATCACGAGTTAGCATTTCAGCAAATAATTTATCAGCAGTGCGGCGATGAGAATGTGACTGGCCATGAGCAGTGACTTGATATTTTTTTATAAACATTTCAATTTGGAAATGGGAGACGTCTTATAAGGAGCTTGCTATTTACCAATGACAATTTTTCCACCAAAATAGCGGTATTTTTGTAAAAAAAAATGGCGTAATATTTTATTACAATTCATAAAAAATGCACTGGCTGGTTTCAAACATGAAACACCAAGTTAAAATTAAATACAACATGTCTTTCGCTTGAAATTTGCTTCGCAGTATGTTCTGTCTGTAAAAATTTTCTCCTTTTATTGTAGAAGACTCCCATTTTCAAATTGCAATGTATATTTTGACGGTGGACTTAAAACTATAATCAGTACATATTGTTGGACTTATGCGCCGACGTATAACACTAGGGCTCTACATTACCACGACTATTTGATATCTAAGATTAAAATGTAAAAAATGGGATCCACTGGAAAAATTTCTATAAAATATTTTGAAATCCCAAGTTTATTGTTAGGTATAAAAAGTTAAATTTTGTTTGCGAGGGGTGCTATTTTATGTTTTAGATTTGGCGGTACGCATAGAGATAGAATATTAGAATACTAGAAGATAGATAACTTTGAACAATAAATTCATATTATAATCGAAATGAAGAAGTCCATTCTTCTAAGTCGGTCTATATCTTTGGATGCGACTTCAAATATAAGATAACTTAATTTTTACAATTTTTCGGTAAATACTTGCTGTTCGTTTCCTTGTACTCCTATTTTGACAAGTCGTTATATCGCCCATTCTACTTTTAACATCCATACTGATAAGACTCCAATATCTAACTGTTTGTTTGTTACAAAATTATGAACATATTTGAAAGCAATATCTCTCAAATCAGTACACATTCAATTTTCAAGCAAATTCATTCAATATTCGTACCGCCAATATCAGTCTACGGGCGATCAGTCGATGTACATATAACGCGACCGATTACGGGAGCCTCTAAATAACACTACAAGCTAGAGTTGTTCAATTGCACTTGATTTAGTCGGGTTACCTTTCACTGATCCCATTCGGATTCGTCTACGCCTTCCATACTGTCTTGCTCCAATTTCAAATTCATCTGCACTTTGGCGCTAATGGATTTCATTATCTGTGAAAGAAAGTCTTTTAAATATATTGTTTTCAATAATAAGGACATTGATTATTTTTTCAGGTGAATATTGAGAAGATGTCCAGTCTCAGAATGTGCTGAGACGGACTCAATCAAATTAAGGTAAGTATTATTAGTTACTAGAGTTTTTGTGTCATGTATTCTCCGAAAGAGAAGGCAGGAGTGTATATAATAATAGCAACTTTTCGCCAATCGTTGTGTACCCCAATATAATAAGGGTGTCACTGTCTTGGTACTATTTTAAACTGCTTCATAGGTCAAGTGGTTACAAACTACTTGATCTAGGACTACAAGATAAAGAATTAAATATTTCAATTGTTTTCCCCTATTGAATGGGACTCGTAACATGACTGGCAAAAAGTTATTATTCCAGTTAAAACATGCACCTCTTAATTTTTTTTTTATGGAATATGAGGCAACCGATAATTGTATAAATCTTAATGTATAATTGTATACTTACGCTGTCCTCCTTGGCCTTGGTATCCTGCGGTACATGTGACTTGATGAGGTCCGGCTTGGGCTTGGCGGCCGCCGCCGGCCGGTCGCGGGCCTCGCGGGATACTGGGGACGCCGCGGTATGCGCCGATACTAAGGAAACATACAGGTAATTATTTATTCAATTGTAAAAATATCCAGCTTACTCGTGTAAATTGCTCATTTGATTTAAGTTTTCGAACATACTCAAAGTCGATTACTTTCGAAACACATTGGAGCTCACCATAATGGACTCCGCAACAGAACCAGACCAAACCAGTCGAACATCCTCGAAAAAATTTAATATCCGCAACATATTACTATTATTTTAAGGGATAAGCCGGCAAACGAGTAGAATTATCATCTGATATCAATTGGCGTTATGGTCGCCCATGGACACCCAAAACACCAAAGGAATTACAAATACGTTGCCAGCCTTTTGATGGTTAAGGGTTTGAATATTGGGGATACAGGGAGGATCTTAAGTAGGTAGATAATATAATATTCTATAAGACTGACGCGGCTCCATCCCAGGCGGCTGCAGACTGACGATGCGCGGCGCGACGGTGTCCCCGGCGAGCCAGCCCGCCGCGCCCTGCCACGCCGCCCACGTCACCGCCGTCGGCGGGAACAGGTCGTCTTGGAACAACTCGCTCTGTGCACACCACGTACCAATATTACACGTAACTACTTAAACTTAATGAACAAGTCGCATAAGATTTCAAAAGTCAACTACCGAAGTACCTTATTTTACACCTTTTTAAACCATAAAATCAGAAATGTAGACTTTATTATTTATTTTTTAAAAACGTTGCCACATTAATGTTTTCTCCTGTGTCATGGGTGTGTTTACAAACATACAAGTTCACATACAAATGACATCCAGACCCGGAACAACAAGTTGTAGGTCACATAAAGAGTTATTCCGTGCGGGAATCCGCAACACGTTGTGCGGCAGCCGGTTGCCCAGCCACCGAACCATCAGTACTTTAAGATGTTATTATCATCCTTTAGCAAGTTGTGGAAAGCACATGGTAATCACTCTTTGCTCCAAAAATAACTATAGACTTTAAAAACTTGCCTTTATTCTGGGCACAGTGAAAGATAGCGGCTCAACTGTTCCATTAGTCAGTCGTAATGCTCTTGCAAACTCCACCTGCAACAAACATCAGAAACATCACAGATGTGCAAGAAACAAATAATTTCAAGTAACATTCAAGACTGTTGTTATTTAACTCCATGTCGAAAGCGACTAACCTTTTCAACGGCGACTAGATTCTTCTGCAAGAAGGCGATCCCTTGGTGCAGTGTGGGCGAGCGATGGTGTGACAGCGCGCATAGATGGGGAGCCTCGCTCGTTACCTCGTAGCAATAGATCGTAGAGTCACCCTGTATGTAAACACTTATATTGTAACAATCTTGATTCCAGATCGAAATATTATACACTTATCGTGATTTTAATCCATTTAAATATTTTTTTTCTAGTACACACAGCGACAGAAAACGGACCTTAATCAAAAATAAATTACTTCGACTGTTCAACACAATAAAATATTAAAAAATAATCACACTTTCATTAATTGATTCTATGACCAACTTAATTTTAGTTTTCTTCCAGGGAATTTTTAAGAAATACGTAAGTTTAGGGATCGTAATTAGGAGGATCCCTAATTGAGCACTGCCTCTTTTGATCGTGGGGTGCAGGGGGTTGAGAGAAACAACGGTGTTCAGATACCGGATATATTCACGTAAACCCCCAGATAGAACCGTTCACTCGGACCAGTGCGCAGTAACTGTCCGTGCCTCGCATACTTCACGCTCACACAAGTTTTTGCTTGCCTTGCACTCTGCCATACATACTTACATTTGTCCCTACTGTTTGGCGCTAAAAGAACGTGACGTCACAATACACAATGTCGTACAAAATTCTTAGAAAACTGTCGTTTTAGACAGTTCGAAAAAAGTATTGAATTTGAATAGTTGGCAAGTACCCAATTTGACTGGAATGACCTAATTTCAAGCGAATGTATTAAAAGCCGACTGAACATTCAACAGCAGAAAGAGTCGCACTAAACATTGAACATAATATCAATCTTAGGGAGTTCGCATCGTCCGTAGTAAACCATCATTAACATTAACGTCGTGTGTCTAAACGAAGATCCACGCGAGACACAATGTATTTTCTATTGTGTCTCATATCGGTGTATTAAACATGGCTAAAATACTGTATAGATTAGTAAACTTAACTATTAAGAGTAGATTATAAGTTAGTAAGCCTATCCTCATAATGGTGACATTGTCATTTTTGATAAAACCCTTCATAATTAAAGAAAAAACAACAGAGACCTAAGCAACAGCGCTCTTAAACTTGTACCATTTCTAATGCGATCTCCAACTGGCCTAACCATGAAGATTGTGACCAAACCTCATATTTAGACAAGGCCCATTAGTCCACCATAAGTGTGGGAGAGCCATGCTTCGGCACAAATGGGCCGGCTCGACCGGAGTGATACCACGGCCTCACAGAACACCGACGTGAAGCAACGCTTGCGTTGTGCTTCGTCGCGTGAGTGAATTTACCGGAGGCTCAATTACTCCCCCCTTCCCCCCAATCCCCAATCCCCGAATCCCCAACAATCCTTAAACTTCTAATCCCCAAAAGCTCGGTAACGCACTTGTAACACTTCTGGTGTTCCAGGTGTCCATGGGTGACGCCGATTGCTTACCATCAGGTGATTCGTCTGCTCGTTAACCGGCTTATGCCATAAAATAAAAAAACAAATGGACCTTCACTGGAGATGAACGATGACAATGATGTTGCTAGCTGACTTACCCGTCCAGTGAGGAACAGAGTGCCGGAGTCGTGGTCGATGTGTATCTGCAGTATGGCGGGCGACACGTCCAGACCCACCGTGCATACGGGCGCGGACAGGTCGCTGGCCTTGTACAGCAGGATCTGGCGCTCTGACACTCTGACAAATATACAGGTATATTTACAATACTTTTGAAAGAAAGATAAAGATCATTGATTTGCCATCTTTTTACAAGACCATAAAAAGCAGGTGCTGAACTAGACTTTTGAGGGACGAATACAATACAACTGACAGCCGACAATAATAACAGACTTTAATCTAACATCTCTGGATCGATTTAGACTTTTGATAGAAATTTAATAGAACTAATGTCAAAAGTCAATCTGAAATATTTTAGTTCGTAATAGGTAGATCAGATGTATGAGGCATACTATTTTGTATGATCTTACTTGTCAAACCCGGTGACGACGAGATGTGTCCCGTTGAGCGCCCAGACGACGCGCGCCCCGCGGCTGCCGGCCGGGCCCGGCCCGCTCGCTATGGGCTCCGGCGACGAACGGGGCTTGTATACCTACAAAACATTAACAAAAAATAATACTATTCATTACCATTGTAGGTCACCACATTTTCATACAAACACAAGTTTTTTAGTTAGGTAACCTCTGAGCGCGAACGAAGTCAACTCTTCATAAAAAAATATTTCGTAATTTAGTAATAAAATGTCTCACCCTTATAAGTCCATCTTTGCAGACAGTAGCTAGATACTCCCCACATGGTGACCAGTCTAATGCGAATATCTGATCAGTGTGGCCAGTTAATATAATGGCTGCTACCGGAGTCTCCGGGTTCAAATCCCAGATCTTGACACTCAAGTCATGAGCTGCGGTGGTCAGTAAGTCTGACGCGGTCGGGTGGAACCGTATTATGTAGATCTTGTCCGGGTGAGCCGAGAACGTACGAGCCGGCTCGTTCGTTGATTCTTGTAGTCCTAGAGAGGAAAATGTTAGTATTAAAATAATATTAATGACTGATTTCTAATAAACCATTAATCTTTTGAATGCATTGATATGAAACACAACAGAAAGTACATTGTGCCTCGCGTGGATCCACGTTTTAGATGTACGAAAGGCTAACTAATTGTGGAACAATTTCAACTGACAATATAAACACTTATTGATAGTGAATTAAGAATTAGGTTACTGTAATGTCGCTACTACTAATTATAGTATGAAAGGTAAGAAAATGAACACCAAAGCCAACTGAAGAAGTAGTGTTTCTGTCAACTATTTCTGAATAAGAGAAATATAATCTTCTCTTTACAATCCTTTCTTTTAGAGGTAGCGCATTTCAGACTTCCTAACCGAGACATATCAGCAGCTTAGACAAAGAAACAAAAATATAATTGAACGGAGAAATGTTACCATCTTCGGGTATGATCCACTCGCGGACCAGTCCGTCGTCACAAGCTACGAGTAGCCTGGTGGGGCAGAAGGGGTCCCAGGCCCAGTCCTGCAGCGGCGCGGGGTGCAGCAGCGCGGGCACGCGCGGGGCGGCGGGCGGGCCGCGCGCCGCCGACACGCGCGTGGCGCCCGCCGGCAGCTCCAGCACGCCCACGCGCCCGCCGCCGCCGCCCAGCGGGACGGCGCAGCGGTACCCGTTGGCTGGAATACAACCACATGTCAGCGTGCTTCCCAATCAATGGAGGGGGTAACACGCGCGAGTACTGTGGGTGTGTATCACTCACCATAGAAACCGTTGCATTCTCCAGATATCTGTCTGCTAATGTTCTTGATGTTCTCCAACTGAGTCGACTTGTGGCCGGGAGTTCCTTTCAAGTGACGGAATTTCGATACTTTACCTGTTGAATACATTAATATTCTTATTAATTTGAATATTGATTTATATCAAAATCTAAAGCAAATATAATAATATGAAGTATTAAATAAAATATCAATAAACCTAATCTGTAAATTTGCATACTAAAAATAGAACGTCCATACGGAACATATATCAAAATTCTAGATAGCAAATCTATATGTGACAATTTTTGCAGTTCTAATAATAAAACTTCCTTACCAAACACAGTGGAAGTCCTCTTTGTAGTGACATTAGGCACTGAAGCCCTCTTGTCTTCACGGTCTGGACTTTTACGGGATTTCAGCGAATCTCGACGTCTGAAACAAAATTAAATCAATATTATTCAACCCAGTCTAGTCCCGAATCCTATCCCCAAAGGATTAATTGGCAGTATTTTCGGCTTTCGAATTTTTTTCTGTGATAGCACAAAGACTAGAATTATACTCGAAATATTGGTAAAGACTTTTACCTAACATGACCAGATGTCTAGTTTTCAACAAACGGGACTGTCCCTTTGTTTTAATTACGAGCCCCGTTGTCATTGCATAACAAATTCAAATAACATGTATTTTTAGCGTTACAAAAGTCTCTTTAACTTTTGACGAAGTAAAGTTGAAAAATGCGTTAAGACTTTGACTGCCAATAAAAAACTGTTGAAGGTAAATCCTCTGCTAACGCCGGTCACCGGTGACTCCCATGGCGTTTAACGTGTTAAGTAGGTATTTTTTGCAGTTAGTAATGTTAACTTTTTTATTGTGAGCACAAAATTTGTATTTAGTGTCTATAATACCTATATCAGATGTATGACTGAATAATTATAAATAAACGAATGGCCACGTTACTTATACCTCACCACACGATTGTCATAAGAAACTGGTGATAAATGGATGTGTGTGTGTATGTGCAAGCACTAATAGATGTGGTTTGTATGTGCTTACTGACCTCAGGGGAGCGGGCGAGGGCGGTGTATCGGACTCCACGGCGACACTCACAGACCTCGACTCGTACGCACGGCGACGGTCAGCTATTGACTGGGCACCGCTGTAAACAAACAACACTAATAAGTACTATTATATTATAATACACGCCACGAATTGAATTTTGTCGTGGTGGGGGTAAGTTAGCGCATTGTGTAATTTTCTCATTATTTCTCATTCTCACTATACCTTTTTTTATTCTTACGTTAATTTTCTTCTACAAAGAGATGAATTGACTCAAGTAATGTGATGGCTAAACCTGCTATGTTATATAATGAATGTCTAACTTAATCTATTTTAGATTTGTAAACGAGTACTCACTCGGTATTTTCGAACATTTTCCTTCGTTCCGCTGTGCTCGGCGTCTTCGGGCGGTAGCCGGAGTCAGAAGAATTCACCTCTTCTTCTAAACTTGTGTCCGACTTGCCATTCGTGTACTCTTCTGCATCAACAAGAACGTACAAAATGAACATAACATCACGCCTTTTATCCCTGAAAGGGTAGGCAGAGGTGCACATTATGCCACTGTGCAATGTTACACCCACTTTTCACTATTTATGTTACGAGTAATAGGGGTTGAGCCTATTGCCATATACCGGGCACAATTCCAGACTCCGTGCTACAACTGAGATTTTTTTTAAATCCAGTTAAACTTTTCCCGACCCGGGAATCGAACCCGAGACCCTTTGGCCGGCAGTTGCACTTGCGACCACTCGGCCAACGAGGCAGCATTTTTTACAATTGAATAGAGAATTATAATAATTACCTGTGTGTAAACATTTATTGTCCTTTAAATAGAGACTATTTCCATTACACATTAATTCACAAATAACTAGAATAAAATAATTTCTTCTAGTACCTTTATTAGGCGCAATTTCCACATCACTAGTCGGCGACAACGACTTGTCTTACATTAATTCACAAATAACTAGAATAAAATAATTTCTTCTAGTACCTTTATTAGGCGCAATTTCCACATCACTAGTCGGCGACAACGACTTGTCTTTCTCTTCGCTGCCGTCTTTGGCTGTGGGCGTCGATGTAGCGGTCGGGGTAGTCGCCTGGCCAGATACTGGCGACGATGCTATGAAATTACGAAATAATTTTTGACTTTACATTTACTTACGATTATATTTACTCTTTATTCAACGACGATTGACACATTTTACTAGACTTCTATTCATGGCCTGCTAAGACTGGCCCTCTTTTTATATCATATGATTGTAAATAACTCACAATACACAATACTTTGTGTTACTATCAACTTTATAAGTCGTTAAAAAACAAAAAGTACTTTGTATTAAAATATTTGTGATAAACTAATGCATTTTTAGAATAAAACACTTGACATATCATATTTAATTAATGTTACTGGCTACGCTTAAATCTTGGTTTTATTAAAAAAAACTTACCTGAGTCAGATTTCGTGAGTCCAGGCACAGCTGGCACTGAGAAGACTTTATCAAATGAGAAATCTTCGTTGCCAGTAGCCGCTGAGAACGGCTTCGGCCCAAGACGAGGCTATTTAAGAAAAATAGTATTAAATACTTATAGAGGTATATTAATACAGACGACACATTTGCTCGTGTGCATATAACTAACTTAAATAAAAATATCATAAGAAAATAAACACAAAAATAAAACACGCAAAAAAACTCTTTGAATAAAATAATTTGTAAATAAAATGGCACTTAAATAAAATAAAAACAAAAAACAACTTCACTCTGTCTTAAAGCAAATAAAAACATTAAATACATAAATAAAAAACACACACAAATGTACTAAAGTCTTGTAGCTCAAACACTCGAACACTACTTTCTTGAAAATACAGTAGCTGTGAAACTACAACTCTCAACTTTCAAGTCAAAGTCAACATTTGGATTATAAGTCATCATTTTTGTAAGTCAGAAGCCGGAATACTGAAAGGCTATCCCCGAATCCTCAACCATCCTTAAAACTCCTTATCCCCAAAAGGCCGGCCAATAACGCACTTATAACGCCTGTGGTATTCCAGATTACCATGGGTACCCCCACTAGGGCCCCACACTAGGCCCCGCACTATGTTTTTTTGTGTGGGGCAATGTTTTTTTTTAAGATAAAAAAAATTGTCCGTCATACTTTGGTTTATCTAGTTTATCTAGGCGGGATAGGAATTGATAATTCCTATCCCGAACCCAGTTCGTTCACTTTCATAGTTCATTTAACACATAACTCAGATAATTTTCTTTTCTTCAGCGCAAGGATCGAACTCACGACACATTACAGGAACAAAGCAATTATAGAAAAACTGAATAATAATTCAATGCGAGACTTTTCATCCATAAAAGCAAAGATAGCTCTTATTGGCAAAAACATGGGATCTTGTCGCAAATCTGTCGACGTCAAGCCAATCTATGTACTGAAATCTTGCACAAAAATACAAACATCAACTCTACACTTCAAACCACAAACCTCATGTACCTTGTAGCCAGACCCAGGTACTGTTGTGGTCCTGGGTTTTGGTTTAGGGACCTCCGAATGCTCCTCCATGGACCCTGGCTCCGAAATTGAGGATCTTGGCATCGGTTTTGGAACCTGAACGGGCACTCCATTAATTAAACTGTTGCTCCTCGATAGAGAAGACTCAGTTGACTCCGTACTATCAGTTTTCTCAATGGTCTTTTCGGTCTTTTCATCGTTCTCCTCGGTCTTCTCAGTCTTTTGCGGAATAACGTCTGGTTCGGTCTTTTCTGGTTCAGAATCAATCTTCTTCTCGTGGCAATTATCGTGACCGTTATCTGTAATCTTTTTGTGGAAGCCATTTGTTTCTTTCTGATAGTCTACTTTGTTAGATTTTTGTCTTTCCATGCCCTTAATAAGGTCTTTTACGTTAACGAAGTCAATTCGGTCTTCATCTTTTGGTTCTGGTGGTGGTTTTGTTACCGTTTTCACAGGTTCTTCGATCTGAACTGGTGCCGACGCCGTCTTCTTGGAATCGGTCTTTTTCGGTGGAGGCATTGCCAATATGGCCTTTACCATCTCTTCTAAGTTCCCGCGGTGAATCTAAAAGGAGAACGGCAATTATTTACTGGTAACTACTAATATAAAGTAATAAAAATATACAAATAGCAGTACTTACGTTACCCTTTTAAGCCCGTAATGTTAAAAAAACAAGCACCACTCAAAAATAACTAATAAAACTGAAAATAACAAATATCACTGAATAACAAGCATCTATAACTCACCTTTTTTCTATTAGATAAAAACAAATAAAACAATTTTCCCACTCATTCACAAAATAAAATATAAAAACACCATGGGTTAATATCCATGTAAACTATAAAGAAAATACGCAAAATACACCATCTTAAATAAAAATAAAAAGGCAAAAAAAAACTTAAACTTATAACATGCAAAACAATGAAAAATAAATCTACAACAATCAAAAGTTAGGCATACTCTCAGCTTACTTATCTAATACTTTTTCATTATCAAACTGATAGACTAGCCAAAGGTCTTGCTAAATGCTTACTAGAGATAGAATTCTGACATAAGCTCTAGTACTTTCTAGTACTTATTTATATCAACAGATTTTTTATGGGATAAACTGGTAAACGAGCAGACGGATCACCTGATGGTAAGCAATCGTCGCCCATGGACACCTAGAACACCAGAGGCGTTACAAGTGCGTTACCGGCCTTTTTGGATTAAGAATTTGAGGATTTTTGAGGATTCAGGGATTGGGGAAGTGGGGGAAGTAATTGGGCCTCCGGTAACCTCACTCACACGACGAAATACAACGCAAGCGTTGTTTCACGTCGGTCTTCTGTAAGGTTATACACAGCTAACTCTAGTAAGCACATAGAATAGACATTAATAAAAATGGTCTCATAATTGATGTTTTCTTTTCAAACCGTGTCTACACCCCTATTAAACAATATTAGTTTCTCTTCCTTCTGTATAAATACTTATGGAACCCAATCGCAATGAATAATAAAGTGTTAAGGCTACCTTTATTTCAATTTTCTTCTCAAATTGCAACAAAAATACACCTATCGTGTTTTTCTGATGCAGTAACAGATAAAAACAAATTTCAATGATTCGTTTTTATATGAAGAGACGACCAGAATCACTGTGATGGTGGAATGACTGGTGATGAATTGACTTGTCACACAGTCTGCACAGACATTTGGTATGCAGGTACGAAAATATAAATTGAATTTGTAATGGGACAAACTCAAACTCAAAATATGAATATAAAGAAATATATACTGAAAATAAAGATTGAGTTTGTAAAGAGAAAGCAACCATTTATTGGCTACAGAGCCAACCAGAGGTTATTAATGTTATGGTTTCATTAAAAACTATATAATTTAAGGTAGATTTTTCAATTAACAAATAATTCTTAACTGTAGAATAAAATTGACATTGTCATCGCCATTTTCAATTAACTGACACAAACTGTTCGTTTTTAGTATGGAAGAATTGTCGAAAATTCAAAATTCTTCCTCCGATACAATTTATCTAGCGTCGAAAAAATTTGCCCTAAGTGTGACATAAGCTACCGCCTCCATAGTAAGTCCATCTTTATCTCCTTACATGCATACCAAATATTTGCGCAGATAGTACCTGCCCAGTTTGCCAAAATGCCATATCCGGATTAACTGTCATGCTTATTTAATGTCTTAATTCATTAAATTGGGCCACCGTGGTCGCCCGACCAATTTGCGCAACCAACTATGGTCGTCATCAAGTCGGTTTGGTTGCCGACAACTATGAACCAAGTTCACATCTGGGTGCTTACTCTTGAAACCAATCACAATGTCAATGCAATTTCAATTCAATAAAGTCTCAATAATTATTCAATGTTAAAACTATACAATCCCTATCGTAGCTATTAAAATAGCATTCAGAGTACAGAATATAAAGCCGAACTCAATACCATTTAGTTCATTCAATATCCACGCAATACGGATACAATGGGCGCTAGTGTTGCAACTCAAGAGTACGAAATTTTACAATATCAATGTCGATCGATTGGAATTGGATTCAAGAGTAAGCCTCCAGGTGGTATATCTTATAAACATATCTTGTTGATTGCGCAACTGATTTTGGGACCACAGTTTCCTTACCAAATGAGGTCCTTATATACCATGTTTCATAAAATGGGAATAATAAAAAAATTAATAAAAAAAAATAAATAAAAAACAAATTCTTTTTAAATAAAAACTAAAATCTATAATCATGCACAACAATATTGAAAGGGCTAATGCTTTGGAACATTATCTACCTTAACCCCTTAAGTTTCATTGATTCAAATGGTGTAGTTGAATTGGTGGGCACTAATTAAATTGTCAAACTAAAATACTAATGCCCGAATACTGAAAGGCTACTCGATTTAAGTAGTTTGTAGTATTAAGTTGTACTTAAATATCGTGCCATCTCTGTCATTTTACAAAGAATTTGTTGTGACAGAGCTATATTTAAGCGCGACTTACAATTTAGTGACCTTTAAGTATTTCAGCGTAAGTGTAATAGAGCCACTTACGATGCAAATTAAAAATATAATTTAGGCCAAGGCAAACGTTTCAAAGTACAGATGCCACAAGCCGAGTGCACTACTGAGGGTGGCTAACTATGCTAGGTAAGTGCAATAATAATATTCTGAATCTGCGTAACCCACAAATTCAAAGAGAGCTACCGTTCCTGTGTTCACTTGAGCGCTTACTCACAATCAATGGACTTGTCAAAATGGTCCCAATTTTCGGAATAATAAAAAATGTAGAGACCTAATGACTGGACAATAAGCAGATATATTTTATAGTCTTTTTTTCTAGAGACTAAGTGAATTAGGTAGTAAACTCAAATGCGGTAGCCCTCATTACACCCTGTAGTCAAGGGTTAAGGACTTTTACGCGGCGCAAGTTTCCACGTAAACTTTCAATTTAAATTCACTCACACGCAATATATCCTTTAAGCAAGCAGTTACACGTTCATTTAAGTTCGTATAAATACTTGCAAATGTCCCGCTCTGTCTCTTCTTACTTACTTCTTAGACTTTGATATATGCGCATAAGTATCAACTACTTTTATTAAAATAAGTTCAAGTACACGGTGAAGTTTGTGTGAAAACTAGCGCTGCATAACTCGTAAAAGCTCTTTCTTAGGTTAAAAACTAAAATATGTACTGTTTTATTTTATGATTGTGACTTACCTGTGTGCCATTATTGGCGTCTGGGTGTAAAGAAATGTTAGGTACTGGGTGGTCTTGGTTATCGAGCCACATCGGAGCACTGAGATACGTCACTGACCCAGCCGTATCCGGGTACAAATCTGCGTGGTAGTCGCGGTAACTCTGCCACAGAAAAAACATACCGTCATACCTTTTATTCATTGACGCATTATGCAAAATTGCACATGTATGTTATCTATCTATTATATAAAAATAAGTCGGGTTTTCCTTCCTAACGCTATAACTCCAGAACGCACGAACTGATTTCCACGGTTTTGCAATCGTTGGAGAGGTCTCGGGCTCCGTGAAGTTTATAACAAAGAAAATTCACTAATCACCAAACGAAATGTTACATAAAACGAAGCCATCTAGTGGCGAAACGGAGTTCGCCGGGTTTGCTAGTTGGATATAAAACTCATTTTCGTCGGATGTCGTAATAGATATTCTCATTTTTAACCGACTTCAAAATACAAGGTTCTCAATTTGATCTGTATGTATGTTTAAGCGCAATTATCTCGCGATTGGTTGTACCGATTTTAATGTAGTTTTCGAAAAAGTGTTTTACACTTAGGAGAAGGTTTTAGTATATTAACCGACTTAAAAAAAAGAGCGGCTTGTATTCGGTTTTATAAACGTAGTTTATACAATAATGAATATTTTTAAATGATGACTGCCTCGTTGGCCGAGTGGTCGCAAGTGCGACTGCCGGGCAAGGGGTCTCGGGTTCGATTCCCGGGTCGGGCAAAGTATTACGTGGTTTTTTTCTAAAATTTCAGTAGTAGCACGGAGTCTGGATTGTGCCCGATATATGGCAATTGGTTCACCCCCTATTACATGGGACTCATAACATAAATAGTGACAAGTGGGTGTTACATTGTACAGTGGCATTAAGTGTAGTAATGTACACCTCTGCCTACCACTTCGGGGATAAAAAGGCGTAATGTTATGTTATGTTATAATATTTTAAATTTTAATAATAGATAGTCCTACTCGATCTGTGAGTCGAACCCCGAGACCTTTTGCTCTGTAGTCGCACTTTGGACCACTCAAAGATAGTAATAATAATGAACATATGGACAACATACCTTTCTTGGCACTTGATACATAATAGGCACGACTGATGACCCAGCCAGTTGTAGCACTCGGTTCACTTCGCCTTCCATCACGCGAAGAGCTCGCTTTGGTACTAAGCAAGCACCCTTGGTTTGTTCACCTATGACATGAGGATAATGACTTAACCCAATCAAATACATAATTAAGACATTTTCAAGTCAATGTACTTCACTTTTTATACATTAAGTGTAGGAGAACGATGCTTCGGCTCGACCGGAGTGATACCACGGCCTCACAGAACACTGACGTTAAGCAACGCTTGCGTTGTGTTTCGTCGTGTGAGAGAGGTTACCGGAGGCCTAATTACGAGCTGAAGAGTTTGTATGTTTGACGCCCTAATCTCAGAAACTACTAGTCCGAATTGAATCGTTCTTTCTGTGTTGAATAGTCCATTTATCGAGGAAGATTATAACTTATAAATTATCACGCTACGATCAATACGAACCGAGCACAGCGCGTGAATACGCTTCGGAGTAACTAGTGCGAAATAACACGATTATCTTCATCTACATTCATCATTTCTTCCATGCTTTGTCAATGAATAAGTATGATTATCATTTATTTTTCAAAAGTTTAAAAATAAACAGGCTTTCAATAATTGATTTAATGTTCGTAGTACATACCGGAATGTCTCAATCCTTCAATGAGGTAAGGTTCCCTGTCTGTTAGCTCCATGTACAAGATCGTAGTGTCTCCCTTCCCAGCCAGGAACAACATGTTGGTGTCAGGATCGAAGAGTGGCATCAGGATCCCAGTGGAGCAGTCCAGCTCCAATGTCTTCTGCGTTTGTGATAAGTTGCGGATATCACGGATCATTATCTGACGGAGACGGGCTGAATCGAAACCTGTTGAAATAGAAGGTATTAATTTAAAAGCACATACTACTGAAGTGCCGTGCAGTGACGACAGAGAGCTTAATACAAGTTTGTTTTACGTTCAACGAGATCGAAACGTTCAATAAACCAACCAATCAGAGTGCCAAGCACGAATAACTATCGCATTCGTAACGTAATTGTATCGAGTGCGTTCGGCGCTCTGATTGGCCGGCCCAAGTGAACCAACCAATCAGAACGCTTAACTCGCTCGATACTGTTACGATACGAATGCGATAGTTATTCGTGCTTGGCCCTCAGAGGGAAGAACGCGGTAACGCGGTAGGCCCTCAGAGTAGTATATATTTATATACTTTTACCGCGAGTTCCGTAAGATTCTAATAGACTGCACATTTCAAAGAGTATGAGTAGCAGCAACGCTCTCAGATAAACCAAAACCTTTTAAGATAAGATTTCCAACCTGCCAGCTAAGCGTGTACATTATAACCCCTCAAAATAGAGGAGGCCTACAATCTAGCAGAGACTTTCACAAACTGATGTGATGATGTAACATACATACATAACATCACGACTTTTATCCCTGAAGGGGTAGGCAGAGGTGCACATTACGGCACTTAATGCCACTGTACAATGTAACACCCGCTTTTCACTATTTACGTTATGAGTCCCATGTAATAGGGGGTGAGCCTATTGCCATATACCAGGCACAATTCCAGACTCCGTGCTACTACTAAGTTTTTTTTTTTAAACCCAATAATACTTTGCCCGACCCGGGAATCGAACCCGAGACCCCTTGCCCAGCAGTCGCATTTGCGACCACTCGGCCAACGAGGCAGTCAACATATTAACAACAGAGTCCACAGGGATCTTGTACTAGAAGTAAACATCTGAAGAACTTACCAGTAGTCAGTATTCTATCCTGATCTCCAAGCCACACAATCCTGCTGTCTTTAATGTTCTGGTGGCTGTTAGCAACATCCACTACAGCGGTGGCCGCCCTCGGATCTATGATGCGGACCTTCTTGTCCTTGCAAGAAGTCGCCAGCAGCTTGCCATCCTTCTTCCACGAGGTAGACTGTATAACCTCACCGTGATCTCTGTTCACTGTTAAATGTTACAGTAAAATTATATTATTATTATTTTCGGAAAGTAAACTTTCTTCTTAGCTATCAAGCTAGTTTCATCCATATTTACGGGCCGAAGCCAAGTAAATACAGGGTGTGGTGAGTAGTCTTATGTGTTTGTGGGTGTAGTCTGGTGGTTGATCTCATTGTCTTCTATTTGCATAAACTTTCTGACGATTCTACAGGTATTTAGGATTGCAGCTTTTTGGAGAGTTATGTATAATGTTTCTTTTAAATCTAACAATTTGAGACTATGGAGAAGATGGTTTGGTATTACACCTGTGGTGGACAGAACTATAGGGACCACATAAACTTTATTTTGCTTCCATATTCTAGCCACTTCATCTTTGAGTTCTGCATATTTCGTAATTTTTTCGGTAATTGTTTTTTGTATGTTGTGGGTATTTGGCACTGCGATGTCTATTAAGTAGGTGATATTATTTACTTTGTCCTGTAATGTTATGTCCGGTCTATTATAATGAATTGTCCTGTCGGTGAGTATGGCGCGATCGTAGTAAAGCTTATGTGTGGTGTTTTCTAGAACAGTTTCTGGCGTGTATTTGTAATATGGTGTGTTTGTGTTTTGTATGAGTGTGTATTTGAGTGCAAGTTTTTGATGGATGACGTTTACTATCTGGTTGTGTCTGTGGGTGTAATCGGTTTGTGTGAGTGTTGTGCAGGCTCCTGTTATATGTTGTATGGTTTCAGGTTGTATGTGACATTTGCGACATTTATCATCGGTTACTGTAGGGTCTTTAATAATATATTTTCTATAGTTTTTGGTATTAATAATTTGATCCTGAATAGCGATAATGAATCCTTCAGTTTCTGGAAATAAGTTCCCTATTTTCAGCCACTTATTTGATGCTATTGTGTTTACGTGGGCTTGTTCTAAGTCATGTGGATGTCGGCCATGGAGGACCTTTCTTTTCCAGTTTTCTAGCTTTTCTTTTTGTGGGTCAGTTTCATTAGAGTTTTCTACATCTATTGGTTCATTTAGGTTTAGTGGCGTATAATTGATGTCGTTTGAGACTATGGCTTTATGAATGTCGCTTGTTTGAGATTTCGAGTGGAAGAATGATTTTAGTTTACAGATTTGTTTTTGGCAGAGATGAGGGATGTCTATGAGGCCTCTTCCCCCATTTTGTCTTTTAATGGTGAGCCTTTCTATTGCTGATTTAGGGTGTAAATTATTGTGTTTAGTCAGTGTAGTGCGTGTTGTGCGTTCTAGTTGTTCTGTGTCTGTTTTAGTCCATTTTATTACACCGAATGAGTAGGTTAGTATAGGAACAGCGAAAGTGTTGATAGCTTTAATAAGATGTTTGCCAGATAATTGTGTTTTACAGACAGCGTTTAATCTTCTTTTGTATTCAGTGGTGAGTGAATTTTTTATTTTTACATGATCTAATCCTTTTAGCTGTGTGTAGCCTAAATACTTGTATAAATCGGTTTGTTCCATTGCAGTTATAATATCTTTGTCATTTACTACATAGTTGCCAGGTTGTATTTTGCCTCTTACAATGTGTAGGGTCTTGCATTTATCTAAACCAAATTGCATATTGATATCGTTACTAAAAGTTGCTGTAATGTCTACTAATGTTTTCATATCTTTATCGGATTTAGCATAAAGTTTTATCGTCCATATAAACAAGATGTGAAATAACTGTTTCATCAGAACTATGTTTGAGGCAATACCCAGCATGGCAACGCTGCAGCAAATGGGAAAGGGGGTTCAAGGCTAGGCAGAACCACAAGGGGCTTAGGGAGTCTCCTTGGTAGATACCTTTCTTAATTCTAATTTGTCGCGTAACAACGTTATCGTTAGTAGTATTAATTTGAAGAGTAGTTTTCCAGTGAGGCATTATGTTGCGAAGAAAATCTATATTTTTTATTAATTTTATAAATTTCTAATATTTGAATCAACCAAGAATGTGGAACACTGTCGAAGGCTTTTTTATAGTCAATGTACGTGCAATGAAGATTTCTATTTTTTGTAGTGGCGTGTTTATGTATAGTGGAATCTATAATTAATTGTTCCTTGCATCCCATGTGGCCCCGCCTGCATCCCTTCTGTTCTTCTGCCATTATTTTATATCGTTCTATGTGGGAGTTGACTTTAATTGTAATAGCTGATGTGAGTATTTTGTAAATAGTGGGCAAACAAGTGATAGGTCTGTACTGTGAAGGCTGCGATGAGTGTTTAGCTTTAGGCAACATGTACGTTATTCCTGTCGCTATAAATTCCGGTATTCTTTGCTTTCCTAAGACTATTTCAGTTAAATTTTTAGCTATGTGTTTATGTAGGATAGTTAATTTTTTATACCAAAAGTTATGTACTTTATCTATTCCCGGGGATTTCCAATTATGTAGTCTACCTGTTACATTTGCAATATCAGATTCTGTGATTTCTATAAATTCCATTTCATCTATACCTGCCCACTTTGTTTCTTCCTCTGTTATCCAAGCAGCTCTATCATTATGAATAATAGATTCTTCCCAAATACCTGCCCAAAATGATTCTAATTGTTCTTTAGATGGTATCGTGCTCTGGTTGTCTGATATGTTGGTGTGTGATGTGTTTAATTTTCTATAGAATATTTTTTCATTTTTTGCAAATGTGGCGTTATCATTTCTGCGTTGTTGTGCTTTTTTATATCTTCTAAGCCTGTGTACTTTCAATGCTAGTTTTTGTTTTAATGTATCTAAGAATTCGTGTGGTGTACGATTGTTATTTTCATGTCTAGTGTGTATGCGTGTATTCTTGAAAATGGCCTCTACTCTTTTGATTACTTTATTTGATCTATTGTTATTAATGTATTGCGTAAGTCTACCACAATCTGCTCTTAGTTTTTCTATACCTTTTTCTAATCTTTGTTGCCACGGTGGCTTGATGCTGATCCTTGGCCTACTGTTTCCTGTGTTTTCTGTTATTTTGAAATTGAGTTCTTCCGATATAACTAAAGCTGTACAATATATAATAGTGTGTAAGTCTGTAAGTTGGTTGTCTTCTGAGATAAAGTGAGCGAGAATACTTTCATTGAACAAATTAACTAAACGAAAAAGGTTACGATTATACAGGAGCTTCGGTAGCCTTGGTCGTGATGCGGGATCCATACCCGAGTATTGTGTGAGTGTCGTTTGGAACTTGTCGTACAATTGTTGTGTGTATTCTTCTGTAATTGGTGCTTGTTCTACTGCGGTTAAGGTGTCGATATCATTTTCTAGAGTTAATGTAATAGATTCTGTTTGTGTGGATGAGTGTGTTATTTGTGTGTAGTTATATGGTTGTGATTGCATATTGAGAGGTTGTGACTGAGTGAGTGACTGTGTTTGTTGATCATTTGTTTGTATGTTTTGCGGACTCAAGTCTGTGATACTACTATTTTCTGATTCTGCTTCTAGTTGTTTTCGTGTTTCTTCTTTTATTTGGTCAATAATCTCTTGGGATAAGAGTTTATTTCTAACTATTGTTCTTCTTTGGTCTGAAATTCGCTGTTCAGATACGTTAACCTCAGGATATTGTCGACAGAAGAGTTCGTGCAAGACTTTCCTGTAAATGGTCATGTCAGTTTCTAATTTTGTTATGTAGAAGTAAGTTCGCATGATGAATATGTTTACTTCTTTACTCCACTTCATGCGAACTCTAGGTTTTCCGGCCTTGGTGGACGCGGGCAAAAAGGCGTTTGCCCCCCGCGCAACATTCAAGGCCGGAGTAGGTGAAACGGTGTGTAAAACTGGTGACGACGGTATAGATGGTGATGAGGATCTAGATGGTGTGTATGATATGGTACTGGGGCTATATGGCTCCAGTGGTGTGTTGGATCTGTTTGTTTGTAGGTCAGCGTCGTCACTTATTTCGGCTGTCACTTGTTTTTTGGTGGAAGCCCGCCTGTTCAACTCCACACCACTGACGGATCGCATGCTGAAACACCCAGCGTCAGCTCCAGGTGTGCCCCGGCGATCGCCCCCGGGAAGCGGCCCTATACGTTTCTTCTTAGATCGTGTCTCAATTTTGAATGGGTGTCCAGAGCCACGTTAGCCACGCCAGTAACTTCGTAATCGTGTGTCCGCCCCCCACGTGATCAGATGGTCGATCAGGACGTGTGGTTGTTTAGGGGGCTTATTATTATTATTATTCAAATTATTAAGTTTATTGTTGAAGAAGAAAAACTAAAGAGTTCGCGAAATTTTATCCGAACCCTAAGTGGGGTAACTACACAACTTATATTGTATAACAAATTATTTACATTTATTTGCGTCAAATGTTGAAAATATTCTCTCACAGAAATCTCGTATAATATTTCATTTTCTTACATTTTTTACAAGTTTCACTTGCACGATCATGGTCTGGTGTATCGTGAATGCTGACTGGCTGACTGGGGTTTTACTTTTTGACTGTCGGCATATAAGACACAAAAGAAGATACTTTTTGTCTCGCGTGGATGTCGAGTTCCGGCACACGGCGAGTTAAAATCGTTGTGCTAAGCCAACATGTAGCGCATTCACTATAGTTACAGGAAAAAAAGCTGTGGGGGTAAATAAACTTACCAAAAGCTTCTTTCTGCTTAGTAAGGTCCCAAAGAGCGAGTTCATGGCCCGAAGCGACGTGTATCAGACCATCAGCCACCGGGTGAAAGCCAACATTTTCAACGCGACGCTGTTTCTGAGACAACGTACACTCCGGAGTCGACAGAGACTCCTTCAAACCTTCTGGTGGAATGTGCCATATTTTTACCTAGAACCGAGAAATTAATACAAATTATTTGCAAAATTCTCCTGCAGCGAGTTTAGTAAGAGCCGACTAAGGGTAGTCCCTTTATATTTAACAATGACCGAGCAGCAGCGCTGTGATTAACCTGAAGCATTTAAACTGCATTCTCCAAGCGGCTTTGCGAAGACTATAGAATGAAGTCGGTTGATTATAGATGGTAAATCTCTTTTATGGTAGAGGCGATCCATAGTCCATTAATGTACTGTACGGACTGTTGATGTGATTTGATACACCCTTTGGTACGAAATTAAGGCAGGTATATGATAAATAATAGACTCGGTACTGATAATAACTTCAGATGTTTTTGTAACAACTATCGTGAGACACACTGAATTAACTAAAAATCGCAGCCTACTGACTGACTGAGAAAAAGTAGCCTATGTGACATATGTCACATAGGCTACTTTTTATCCTTTTGTGACGCAGTGGAAGCCGCGGGTAAAAAAGCTAGTATGTTATAAATCCAAATATTAAAATATTCTATAAAATGTAGCCATACTTTTTTGTCTATCCACAAAAAATTAAATGAAGTAAATCATAGTACACGATCCGTTCAAAGGATACTGCTAGGTACACTTATTCTACGATTGTCGTAATTAACGCATTGAAACAAGGCAATTACATATGTAGAACATTTTCCTGTAACCATAACTATTATACGTCTAATAATAACAATGCGATTAAGATACACAATTACAGCATTTGAATTATTTATGCCTATACCAGGCCAGCTCCAATGCCGCTATGGCAATGATAGCTAATAGAGTGAGTCCCTACATGCGTCATTGCTGTAAAGACACAACCGGCAGTATCGGATGAAGAGATTATATTGACTTTATGTTTTATTTTAAGTCCTTTTCATTTTATGGTTTTAATGACATGTGATTGTAAATTTTATTTAATTTGATTAACAATGTAACAATATAGGTTACGATCACCTGAAATAAATGTATATATATTTTTATACACAATATAAAAGAAGAACATTCAAATGTTTCTTCTGCCTAATTTTTGTTGGTCAGGATTGAATAAGCGGTTTAAACTGTCAAACACCAAGCGGTCACCGGTGACCGCAACCTATTGTTCTTTAATTGTGTCTATAAATACGGTACTCGACGAGTTAATTTCAATATTTAAGACTTATGTACTAAAAATAAAGTATATAAAATTACGACCGACCGATGGTTGAGATCGCTTCCAGCCGACCGATATATAAAGCCAAACTATTCAAATCGTTGCATATACCCAGTAAATTAAATAATTAAATATCTTTTTTGCGAGACTGCACTTTGCGAGCCACTGGAATCAAATCTTTTATTCGACAGTCGCGTTTCGCTACAAGCAAAACCATGATCGGAATTCGGTCAGGAGGACAATATCGCAAAAGTATTACACCATAGAAATGTGCATCCATGACAAATGTTATCTGTGGTACAAATTCCGTGTACAAAAGATAAGAGCGACATTTTATCAACTCTATATTTATCTCTTTTTATAGAGGTACATAATAGATAATTTCATTTCATTTTATTCCTATTACTAATGGTGTAAGTAATAGTTCACAATAATAATATCTGTCTTTCTACGAGACCTCTCGTCAGACATACTAAATTAACTAACTATTTAACTAATGATTTACTCATGTGAAATGATTGAGAAGACTATTTTGAATGAATATGTTTCTTATCGATAGAATTTGTCTCATTTATTTTAAAATGGTTGGCCAATCTTAGCCAGATTTGACCATTTCCAACATCACTATGTATTTATTTAAGTCTAAAGTGTATAATTTAGGTGCAAACAATAAGTTTTAACATCTAGTAACTTTCAGTCAACTTCATTATTAGGCCCAATTGTGTCAGACACACCTTTCACCCCACACCGGTCTTAGAAATTTTTCATACCAAAAACATCTGAAGAATGATTCGAACTGCATAAATATTGAGATAATTAGTGAAATAAAAATTGCTATCAGACTCATAATCCTTATGTATGTTCATATCATTAAATTGTAAATTGATAAGTCTGCTTACACTCTTATAAAAGAAATGTATTTTTTTTTTATTTTATCCATCTAAAGTCTGAGCATTAATAGAAATCTTCAAGTCATCTTAGCTAAAATATTGCCGTTGGAAAGTCAAAATCTAGTTTCCACACTTCAGCGAATATTTAGGTCTATGTTAATGTGTGCACATGTACAGAGCAAATATCATGTCAAGCCAAAATATTTTTAAAATGTTATTGTTGGTACGTTTTTAGGTAGATCTAGCCCTTATTCCCTTTTAATAAGATTTTAATTACAATAAATGTTGATACATTTCTTGAAAGCTACCATCAATAAGTTAATTTTCTTTTTCATTGAAGTGCATCTTGAAACATAAATAGTAAAGGATTATTTTAAGGGTTGTATGTACAAAGTATTTTTTTTCCTTTTTTATGCAAACATTGCTTGTGTTTTCACTATTGTCTACTTAGTTTATTCAATAAATGCGGTACCAATTTTTAAGACATGGCCTTTTGACTATTTTTTAACGAAAATGAGTAAAGTAACAGATAAAAATAAATTACTTACCCTGCAAATACATTACAATGCTTTTTTAAATGGCACAGATAAGGTATTACAAACAGAGAGCAGAGAATAGTTAAATATGATGAATTAAATATGGTGATAATAATAATAATTTAACAATGCTTACCAAGGAATCCTGTGAACCTGTGAGCAGCAAACCATCATGGAAGGGTGAAAACTCCATGTCAGTTATGGTGTCAGAATGTGCGTGCAGCAGAGGCATTGTCTTGCTCTTCCTTCCACAGTCATCCAGGGGCAGGACAGCCATGCTCGACCCAACATGCTCCCAGTTGAAAGCCATGAAGGCAGCAGATGCACAAATGTTGTTCCCATAAGTTTGATATGATCCAACACAAATGTCCCGAATACATGCCTCTGGCTTAGGCACAATCGGTGCCGCATTTTTATACTTAGAGGCTTTGAAACGCCAAGCCATGATTATCCACTTTTTAAAAAAAGTTTCTCAGTCTTTGAATTTGGAATGTATGAGATGTACTAGTCTGAAACAATTTTTTTACAACATTTTAATCACCAAATACTTTTTTATAACTCAAAAGCGACTCCTACATTAAGTTACGGTATTTTTAGCCGACAATAAATATTTCACTTACACTAATTACATTTCTAATTAGAAAAAATCAGGCTACTTAGTATAGATCGAGCATTTCTTTGTACCGAAATCACATATAGAAATTGTAACAGAAAATACGTTTTTTTATAAAACTTCTAGGATGAGTCTAAATATAGAATGAAATTGCTTTACAACACCTGAAATTCCTGAATGGAAAAGTACAAAATACCGTAAAAACACCTTTTGTTTTGAATAACTCGGCCGGCTGTCGCACCGGATACTCTTAAAACAGTTATTGAGGCAGAGTTTTGGGATACAGTTACATTGTCCATTACTTTAGTTATCGTAATAAATAAATATTATGTTCGACTACTTACCTTATCTGGTAAAAATTACTCAGAAATTCGATTTCCGCTAGACACTCCCCCTAAACGTCGGCCATTTCAAAAGCGACATTAGAGTGGATCGATAAATAATATAAACATAATAGTCGATGCTAACCGATGACATTTCAGAAAAAATAGTTGATTATTTACTAATTCCCATTTTTATGAATTTTTAATTTTGCTTAATATAATTACCCAATTACGCAATAGTTTTTTATTTTTAATATTATAGGCAACTGATGATTTTGTATTAAAACAATAGTTATCGTTTAGTCGTGTCTCGTCAAAAGCGTTTTAGTAACATTTCACAACACTGCGCTCAACAGCTGCAGCTGATGTTTCATTTTACGCAGTATTGTTTGAATACATTTTCCGCGCGCCTCTAGCGGCGTAATTTAGAAGTTGTCCAACATTGTCCAAGAACGACAGCTTTCGAGTTGAGGTTAATAACGTAAATAATCAAATGGATCACGATTACATAAAGAAACCTGTTTTAAAAAAAAGCAGAAACACAAAATATTGTTGCGTTCCTCAATGTAATACTTACGGAGGTTCGGGAATAAGTTTTCATTTATTTCCAAAAGACATAACTATGAAAAATAAATGGAAGACTGCTCTAAGAATAGGCAAGCCGATTTCAACAGCAATGAGAGTTTGTTCTCATCATTTTCAAGCTTCAAATTATTTTCCAAACAGTTAGTATACCTAATTATGTTTTATTTATTTTTATACTCACATGTATTTTATAAATTATTTATTTAATTTAGGCTAAGGCGAGTTTCTCGTCAGATAACGAGATCATGTTTATTGTTCCAGATACTAAAAGACAGAAGTTATTTCCTAATGTCGTACCTTCTCAGAATATTCCTAAAAGAAGCCCATTAGTTAAAAATATTAAATCAATTGCTCGAGAAAATAGGGCTGATATCAGGCACAGGAAAATAGTTGTTTCAAAGAAAGGTCTAGGACTAACTATTAAGGATGAAACAATTCAAGTTGAGATAGATTTGAGGACAATAATATAACTGATAAAAACAGTCATCATTATGTCATGACTTCATCAACACAAGTCAGTTTGGTTGATTACAGAACTTATCATCCTCGAGATGATTGGAGTTTAGCCGACTTTCTTTGTGAAAAAGAACCGTTAGAAAAGTGTACTCAAATAAATTTTCTTCCTATATGGAAAGAGGAAAGATCAGCTGTAAAGCAATTAACCCTCTCGAAAAGACAGCAGTGATATTGTCTCCTCCTTTTAGGTAAATTTTACAGTGGAAAGTGTGATCATTTCTGTTACTTTTACTAATAATTTATGAGTGTTGATTAAATTTAGAATAAAAGTATTACGCAAATTAAATTTCAGAGCAATTTAAAAAAAAACTTATCTAATTAATATAAAAATGGAGATACAAACTTTTCTATGAAGCTGATACGGAGTTATGTAGGTTTAAACAGGCTTACAGATTTTAAGAATTTTTGAGCTTAATGCAATAAAACTACACAATTATAGAAAAAAACATTTATTGTTTCAATTCAAAATAAAATCCAAATTCAAAACTTTCACTTACAATCAAACAACTTTTATCAACAAATCTAGAAAATACTTTCAACACTTTCTCAGGATAACAATAGACTGAGAGGTCAATCCCATCATCCTTGCTCGCTGTTGATTTTCCACCTTCATTTCTAGGTTCTGCAGCCTTTGCCTGTCCTGTTGTGCCTATTCCTGTTTGTGCATCACTAACACCTTTACGAGTATTTCTGTCTTTTCTGTATGCCTATCAAGAGTGTATAAAGCCAGCCTCCTGCATCTTGTGTCGGTGGATCCTGGGGTTTTGGTTCCCGAGAGGAAAGCTGCCCCATTTCCACATCATCTTTTCACTCTTCCACAGAGGAGACATCTGGGACATTTCCTTTCTTTTTCGACTTGCTTGGAGCCCCTTCTTCTGATCGTCTTCTTGCCCTTGTGGTGGTACATCTGGTGTTTGTAGTGGTGCGGAGGTGACCCCTTGGTGTAGGACCTCCCCTTTGGACTTAGTATGTAGAGTTATTATTGCGTCTTCCAGCATATCTTCTTCTGATGGCTCCGTGATTGGTGCTACTCTTACTAAAACTTTCATTAAGTTTGTGAACAATCTAGATTCAAATTGACGACCCTGATTACTAGTAATGCGTACAGGACAGCCATACCTAACTAAATGCTCGTAAATGGTCTTGGATACTAATTCTACGTTTGTCTTCTCTCCAGGGAAAGCTTCCGGCAAACGAGTACATCTATCGATAATAGTTACAAAATATCTATATCCCTGTGGAGAGACTGGTAAAGGACCAACTATATCCACATGTATATGCTCGAATCGTGAACCTTAAGGAAATTTACCTAATTCTAAAACTACGTGGCGATCAATCTTTGTCTTTTGGCACTGAATGCAAATTTAACTTGAGCCCCACGTCTTTTTATACAACTAAGAGCAGTAGACGTAGATTTGGATTTTGGAGTCTGCTCTCGTATATGTCGGTCTCGAATTTCCGTTCCATCGGCAGTTAGGGATCCCATGAGCAAGAGAGCTCTATTTTATACTGACTCGTGTGAACTGTAGTGACAGAACGTGTAGTCTCATCTTATGCGCGTAATAAACAAGGTAAAAAATACAAATAAATATATCCAAAGTGATTTATTATATTCCGAGTATTACAATAATTCAATTTCTTTGGTGAGGATTAATTTCAATATAATTATAATCAATGTTACATGGAGAAATATTTATCAATTAGATATTTCAGATCCAATAATTGTGCAACCACCCACAAACCAACATTAAACTGTATCTGACAAATACAACATTATAAAAAAAGCATAAAAATACGCAATTCATAACATGATTTAAAATATATTTATGTATGTTAATAATTAAAATATAGCGATGTCAACTAGGCAAGTGTGGCCGACAAAAATAAACTTTATATTGCACAAAATTACGAACAACATGAAATATACAACTTTAATATAAAAAAATCATTTAAAACATCAAGTGCATTATAAATACAGTTATGTGTGATGTTTAGTATAAAAATTAACATATAAAATTCCAAAATAGGCACCTACAACAAGAAAATAAATATAATTGTTTAACACTAATTTAAAATTAACGAATTACTAAAACACTATTATGTAGTTTTTTATGATAAACTAGCAAAATTAATAAATGTACAACAACATGTGTGTGTATCATAATATCTAGTCAAATTGTATTACAAAAAAAATATAAGAGATCACATCAGTAACATTTCTTGAATGAATAAAAAATATGAAGTAAATACAACAATTTATAATATATGGAATAAATATAAATTATTTATTCCATATAAAAATCAACTGCTGCATTTGGAATGTAACATGAACTGGTCTTAATCTATTATATATGAACATTTTTGACTTCATTAAACTATTATTTTTCAGAAATGAAATTGAAGTTCTTTCTTATGTTACGAACATGTTAGTTGAAGCATGTAAATGCTAACAACAAAAATAGCTGTTAAAATTGTATAGTGAAAAACTCAACTGGCATTTATACTGTGAACGCCTATAATGACAAGCACATACAAAATAAATTTCAGTACTATGGGAGATACTTTCCATGTTCACATATACACTTCAATTTCATTCAAAACATGCATATTGTCCTGTAGTAAGACAGTCTCTGATTCTGTAATTCCTGTGACTATCAGTTCTAACATTAGAGTACATTAAAATCTAGGTAATTGTCTACAAAATAGTATTTCAGTAACATTACCCTACATTATCTAATAACCACTCCTAGAGACGTTCCAAGCCCTCTCACATTGTGTAAAAATGTTTCAAAATAAAACCAAAATTTTTGAAGTGAAATGAAATTCATAATACCTTCTTTAAAATAAAGTTAAGTACAATATCAATACTGGTTTCATTATTATAAATGTTAGCCTTTAAGTATTAGAACATAAATTAAAGTTCTAAAGAACTTACGATCAAATAATGAATTAATCAATGAAAACATTACTTTGCAACATTTTACAAACAATTTGGGCAATAGGTACTAAGTTATTATAATAATAACAAAAGTTGCAAACAGCAAAATTGTTTACTACATTGAAACAATGTCATGACTATCCTGACGTTACCAGCGTAGAACGAGCGACAATCTTTGTCAGTCATCTCATCAGACAATTGATTTACAACATGCAATTATCACTAATTACATCTTAATATGATATAATATAAACCAATTAACTCCACGCTACCTTCCTTCACACGAAGATACGACATAATTTGAAACTCATTTATTCATAATCGTAAATCAATCTAAGATCGAATACTTAATGCGACATTGATTTTAAACGTCTTAATTCAGTGATACACGTAATCGATTAATCGACTAAATTCTTATTGATTTTGGTCTTCCTCTATCGTATAAACGGTTTTCTTTGAAGAGGACGCGACTATGACAGTTTTCAGGTTTTTATCGTTTTAAATTTTGCCAGTCTTTTATGATTGATGTCTTATTTTTACAAACAGTACATCAGTTATCGTTCCAGTAAAATATTAACCCACGTGACATGCACCCCTGTATGTTATGTAGTATTAAAATTAGCAATTACAAATATTATGCATTTCTCATTAAAAATTAAATAGATAATTGACAAAGATTTCACTCATCTACACTGTCGTCCAATTAATATTATGTGTATGTGTATACAGCCAATCGCACATCAGTAATAATGCATGGCGAAAGTCAACCTTACTGCTTAGAACATAAGATACCTAAGACTAAACAATTACTAACTGATCTACAACCAGCTGTATTTTAGTCGAGTAACCCTATGCTTGGTCTCAATTTTAACTATAATTAATAGAATTAATATTTGATATGCAATATAATGGTATCAACACTACTTCTACGAATTGACATGAATTAGTGACACATGAAAATGACAATATGACAACGAACGTCATGACATTGTGACAACGGCACAGCACTTAAAGCGAGTGGAATGACTTCCGTCCTACGAAATATACGACAAGACTGTCGCGGTGTTAATGAAAAGTTTTAATACTTTAAAACAATATATACAAATAAAAAATTCTTGTCAGTCCATCGTTCGTTCGTTGGCAAGAAAATAAAAAATAAAACGATTAAAAAATCGACTAAAAATATCTATAAAATCAATAGGTACTAATTCGTTAACAACAAAATATCAATTCCTTTATTGTCAGTATCTTTGTTATCGAGTTCTTCGTTAAAATGTATTATTATCGACTCAAGTTCGAATGCACAAAAATATTATGTACTTTCAGCTTATTGCGTGGTGGTTTCACTAAAACATTTATACGACCCATAAGAATGAAAAAATACTACGGCGAAGCTCAAATTAAATGATAGTGACGAGTAAGGCTCAATTCCTCAAAAATATACTGATGCTTGCATCTTAAAACCTACCTTTAATAGAAACTAATAGTCTCTTTTCAAAAACACCGCAGCAGATTTTTAAGCTATTTTAATATCAATGAGATAAATTCGTTACGTTTACGAGCGTAGACAACACGAACCGTCACCTACCGACGTTGTTTTTCCGTTGATCGGTCCTAAACTGCCGTCATATTTCGGCAACTCCTTGCATTTTGCTTGCTGGAATAAATATAAAAATTAGATTAGTAACTTTAATCCTTACTAATATTATAAATCGGAAAGTGAGTTTGTTTGTTTGTTCCACTTTCACGCTGTAACTACTAAACCGATTGCTTTGAATTTTTGCAGACGTAAAGTTAGAAGTCTGGATTAAATAATAGGGTACTTTTTATCCCGGAAAAATTTGATATTCTTGAGGGAAAACGAAATTATTCGTATAGATGGCGCTGTGTGTATGTCACATAGGCTACTTTTTATCCTTTTGTGACGCGAGCGAAGCCGCGGGTAAAAGCTAGTAGTCTATAAAAATCTATAGTATAACATTCAACAATGTTTTTATAATATTTGCTAATTTTATCAACAGATGGAAGGAAATTGACGTCTGTTTTAGTTTGTTATATAAGTCGAAAATATTTACACTTGTATTTTGAGCGGACAATTTATACGATCAAGCGTTTACGCCCAATAAGTGTTAACACAAACAAGTCGATGGTCCATGGTAATTTAATTATTCACGGCATTTTAAGTTTTTAGCGAGTCCGAAAATGATTGTGAGAATTTTATTCGTAAAGACTTCAAAGAAGACAATTTTTGTTAAATAATATGTCTAAGTCTAATCGCATAGTACCCGTAACTGGACGTTGAATCGGTTTTTTTTATTGCGCTATTTATAATTTATGAGTCACCTAAACAATAGGTGCAAGTCCATAAAAAAATAATAACTATGTAGGTACAAAGAAGTTTTCCTTTATACGCTACTGAGCCTTTGGCCCTGACGCTCTGACCTCGAATCCGGGCAAAACTCATCGTCTTTCGCATTACCGTTTCCATTTCTTGAATCATGAATGAGACCTAAACTGTCCCTAAATGTGAGAATCTATCACATTGAGAAGCAGTTCAGGACTTAGCTAAACAGTAATTTTATGAAAAACCCAGTCTATTTGCAGAAGGCATTTAAAGGGAATGAGAAATGTGTGTTTGTGTAAAAAAGATTAGGAAAACTTACTTCCATGAGTTCAACAGCTATTTCCATAAATAATCGCTCGACATTTTCAGCCTCTTTAGCTGATGTCTCTAAGAAATACATGCCGTGACGCTGTGCAAAGTCTTCACCGATGTGCCTTGGAATCTCCCTGTCTTCCCGATCAGTTTTATTACCTGAAGTTTATATAACAGAATAATTATGAAAAAAAAACCATTAGAAAAAAAATGCCATTTTATCTAAGTATTGTAGCTTTATACAAGAAAATAAAAAAACGTGTCTAATATTTTTTCATTATGTAACTGACGGACTAATTAGATTTTTAATTTTCTTACCCTGGCATCTACCCAATTACATATAGAGGTCTATAATTAATTACTTAATTATATGAAATACATTATAGGCACAAAATTTTAATGGAATTATTAATTGGAATGTTAAAAATGCTAAGTTTATTATTCCGTAGAAAAATAAAGTGTAGAGTAATGTTTTTCATTAAAAAACTATCATTTATAATAAAATAATATTAACTTAATGATCCCTATTTATCGGATAAGTAGATTAAGCTACATTTTAGGATTTAAGGCGTAATGGTACTTAGAGGTTTATGAGTCATCACCAAACAAGATCGAATGGCTATTTAAGGCGTAGGCTGACGCCTACGACCTTGCTCCCTATTACCCTCATATGGTATCGAGACAGTCGTTTTATTTATATCTTATATAAAAGTTAGAAATAATCGAAAATTTTGTAAATTCTTTTTCATCTATTATTACGATATTTAAGTAAACAAATGATAAAGTGGATTTTGGATCAACGATAGGCATACCACTATCCACCCCTTAATGAAATTATAAGAATAATATAAAAAAACGCATTAAACAATGTGAAAGTTACAAAACAAGTTGTCCTTAACCCCAATGGGCCTCATCAAATTGATCACTTCCAGCTATGGTTCGAAAATTAGGGTCAAATGAATCAATAGCTTTACTGACAAGTTCCTGTATAAGGTCATGTCAACTGTGCAGCCACCACACAAGACCTTGTAAAATAATTTACTTTCTCTTTTAAAACCATTACGATAATTATGCCAACTGAACACTTTCGTTCCCTAAGGAATAATTTATTAAGCATTGGAGCATTGCTGTTAACATTAATTATGTAAGTAGTACAACTTCTAAGATCAGTTGTTTTACAGGTTTCAATTAAAATTCTATGATTTATTGTCATTATGAAGGGATTAAAAAATTATGAAATATCATAACTTTATAAATGTAGCTAAAGTATTAAACTAAACTGCTTTTATTAGTTTTTCTAAAATTCTAAGTTAATACAATGGAGTCTGTAATTGACCCTGGTGTCAGGTGAAAAGTGGATGTTTCATTGACCATGTGCACCCCAGCATACTGGGCCACATGCGAATTCCGCAATAAGTTATGGTTGCTTATGGGACGACATGCTCCATCGTAGAACACATAATCGCTTATCACCCGGCAAGATAGTGGTCAAACATCACAAAAAAATAAAAGTTATCCAACCAGTACTAGTCAGCATGCTCGTAATATGTAAAATTTTAAAGTGACTCACCAACTAATATCCTAAGAACTTTATTGTTGGCATATTCTTCAATTTCTCTAAGCCAGTCTGGTAGACAGTCAAATGTCGGCTGGCAAGATATATCATACACCAGTATCAGAGCATGAGCAGATCTGTAGTAGCTCTGTGTAATTGAACGAAATCTCTCTTGCCCAGCAGTGTCCCATATTTGCAACTAAAACAGGAAACCAAAAATAATTATAAATGTTTACAGAATAAATTGCTTGGCTCATTGTTAGGTACTATAAGTGTAAAGCAAAGAGTATTGGGATCTCGGATCTGGCAAAACAATTCTCAGGAAGCACTCAATATCATGGAATGTTGAATTCTGCCTGGTAGGTGGAGTACCTAGTAAAAGGTTTAAACCTTTTTGGGCTTAATAACAATTATGACCATTTAACAGGAGAATTAAGTAGGTGATATGTAATTTGTACATATTTTAGCCCCTGCTGCTCGTGTGTATTGTAAAAATGTACATTTTATTATATTTAGAAATCAGTCAATAAGGACTAAAAGGAAAATAACAATCTAGAAATAATAATAGGTAGGTAATAATTAATTGTGTAAAAGTAATTATTTAACAATAACATTTAATTTCATAGCAGGATAGCAGGTATATTTTTGTTCTACCTATTAATAGCCTTTGTCAACATAATAAAATTTGAGAACATAATACTTTCTCATTTAGGTACTATAGGGCTATACATATAATATTCTCAATTAATTAATTGCTGTACTGGCAACATGTAGTGAAGTCCATTGTTTTTTATTTTCTTCAAATTAGTCCAAGGGCATCTCTGCACAAAGGATTTTTGTTTATAAAAAAACACAAATATACACTGACAAAACTAATAATTACAGCTCTAAAATGATGCAATGCATGCCATATTTGGTATCAGTGTTAAAGAAACTCACCTTCACTTTCTCACCGTCAACTTCTACAGTTTTTATCATGAAATCAACTCCAATTGTAGCACCCTGGCCAGGTGGAAAGAGACCTTGAGTAAAACGACGTACCAAACACGTTTTCCCAACTCCCGCGTTCCCAACTAACACTACTTTAAATAGAAACTTATAATCCTCCATAACGAGCACCAATTCACATTTGTCGCAAGAAAAAAATAGAATTCCTTAGGTATTTAGTAATCTTCACCTCTCACTGTTACGCTTTGATGAATCGAACGTCTATTACATTACGATAAATCACTGATATATTATCAAATAGATTATTTTGCGATCACAAGTTCATTACGATTAGATAGTGAAATCGACAACCGTATTGTCAAATCAATTCTACATACAGCCACCAAAACATTAGACAATGAGAAAGAAAACTCAAGAGCGAGAAATATCGACGTCGTTCAAGTAAAATTGTTTTTGCCTTTTGCTTTTACGAAGAACGTTAAAAGCTTAGTTCACTTATTTTATTTTCATGTTGTATATAATCGTTTTACCTTTTAGAAGTCATCGCATATATCAAAATTATTTAATAATTCAGATAAATAGTTGTGGTTATAAGCTGTGAATTATTCAATTTTATTCATCTTACCTACATATTTACCTAGTGGAACTTATCGTTAACTTGCTTCGTAAACAATGTCAATTTTTAGTCGATTTTTGTTTAAACGAAAGTGCTCAAATGTGTCACAACACTACGATGCGACTCTAAACATTAAACAATAATAAATAATAACAAAAGCGTGCGTGAGGAGTTCGTTTGTTTGTTGAACTTTGTTGGTTAAATAATCTATAAAACTGTTTTAAACAAAGACGTATTTTTTGTGATTTCGGTTAGTATTTATTTTATTTGACGGTATTACGGTTATCAGTGACAGGCTGTTAGATGACTTTGATTGATTGATGTATTTAGTGTTTCCAAAATTCCAACTTGTATTCGCGGGTGTATATGCGTGCGGTGCATATGCATAAAGTTTATTCGGTGTAGTTGGCGTAGCACGTATTTTATTTGGTTTGTCTGAATTGAGATTCTTAGAACTATGTCTAGTATAAACTATACTACCCGTACCGAAGGACAAACCAAAATAAACACCATAATATGGACAGTGCCAAATTTTATCATTCTTTTGGAAAACAAAACTAATAGAGAGTTTCGTACCGAGAAATCTAAGGACCCTACTACTGATTTGTCAGAATCAAGATTCCAGTTGAAGATGCAATTCTTAGGAAGAGATAATGACATTATAGAAATCTACTACCTGTCCCCAACTCCTGTGTTCTTGAAGTCTGTCTTAACCATATGCCTGAAACGTTTCGAAGAGCGATCGATAGTAATTAAAGAGTATCACACTGTTCAGGCAAATAAATGGCAGTACTTAGCAACCTTATTCAAACGAGACATAGCCAGTTATGATGGCAGAGACATATTCCTACTTAGTGATGGCAGTTTGAGACTGAAATTCCAGTTTATGGTAACTAATGATATTAAAGTGGACCGCTCTAATATCCCTGAGGCGCAACTGAGCAATGATTTTGAAAATTTATTAAACAATGGTTTGTTTTCTGATGTCACTATGAAATCTGTAGAAGACGTTGAATATAAGGTGCACAAGGCTGTGTTAGCCAGCCGAAGTGCAGTTCTTAAGGCACATTTTGAACATAACACTACTGAATGCCTTACTAATATTGTTGAATCTCCATTAGAGTCTGAGGTATTGAGAGAAGTCCTGACTTTCATATACAGTGACAAAGCTCCAAGGGTGGATGAAATACCAGAGAAGTTGTTGGCTGCTGCGGACTATTACCAACTAAGCAGACTGAAGAATCTCTGTGAGGAAGCTCTGCATAAGAAATTAACAGTGGAAAATGCAATAGAAACCTTACAACTGGCCGATCTTCACTCAGCCAATACCCTTAAGCAACTTACACTGGAGTTTATAAAGGATGGTCAGGCAAAACTCATAACAAAGACTGAAGGTTGGAATAAAGTGAAGTCTGTGGAACTGATCAAAAGGATTTATGAATACATCATGACTGATGATATCGATGCAGATATTAAGTAGTTACCTTGTTACTACAGATGTTTATAATATGATATTTGACAACCCTTACACATATTGTCTTCATATTTCCATATTCTTGATAGACTGTAGTGCATTCCAACTTACGTGTGAGTGTGTGTGTTTAATTAATGTCTTAAATCTTAATGGTAAATAATATGAATTTGTTATATTGTCATTGTTGTTATCGATGCTAGATTGTTATTAGTGATTGTTTATGAGATTGATAATACAAATACTAAATTCCTTATGATTTTGCCATTAGAACATAATTTAATCTGTCAAACACCAAGCGGTCACCGGTGACCGCAACCTATTGTTCTTTAATTGTGTCTATAAAACCGGTACTCGACGAGTTAAAAGATATATTATAATGACAGGGAGTTAAATTGTACATGTAATAAAATACCATATTTTATTTTGAAATTTTTATTACAATTTGATTAACATAGAATTATCAATGGCAGCCAATATAGTGTAAACATTCCTCTATTACTTTTATAATAATTATCATGAGACATACGAAATTAACTAAAAATCGCGGGTTACCAGTAGGCTGCCCGACATCGCCGTGACCGCGCACTCTGCTCATGAGCAAGAACACCCTCTGTGGTCCGAAACTAGTAGAGCTTTTCTCGGTATATTCACGCAAGTTCCCGCGATTTTTAGTTAATTTCTCTAATATTTATTAATATCTACTATTACAAATGTATTGATTAAAATTATGATCTCAAATAGGGTGCAAGTTCCATTACATATTCAAAATTATGTCAATTAGGTCTTAAGTTATCAGTATAATTCTGATATTATAAGCTTGTATTGTATTTTACAATATTTTGACAATTGTATTTTTTTAAATAAAATGTCCTATAAACAATATGACGATTACATTTGTTTTTTTTTACTAGATCATTTAAAAAGCTTACTACATGTCATAATATATTTGGTAAGACAACAGTATAAAGGGTAAAAACTATAAATGAGTTCAATATTGAGCACACCCCAGTCACTACGATCACAAGGATATTCAAACTCATTTTTAGAATGTTTGTTTTTCTAAAGGTATGATGTATACAAATCTAAAAAATACTACTGTACTAGTACTTAACTAACCATAGTTGCCTAAAATTAAAGGTGAGTATATAAACAAAAAAAAAATACTCAAATGCATTGGTGCATAAGTACCTAGAGAGAAAATATTTCCTCAACATAACAACATAATTTTAAATACTTATAAAATGTAATATTATAATGAATAATTATCTCGTACGAGTATCACTGTCGTTACCACTGTCCGTGTCACTCATATTGTCACTACTGTCATCATCATCGTCATCTGAATCGGTGTCACTATTACAGTATGCCGGGTCTCTATTACAGTTGGCAAACATATCATCATCATCCTCATCACTCATTTCCTGTTGAGCATCATCAAACTCTTTTGGCCATACATTTTTTTCTTTATAATATTTTATAGAGTTTTTATTCATAATTTTCACTACTTCAGCTTTCACTTTGTCTCCTTCAGGTATCGGTTCGACAACGACATATGATCCTCGTCCCACCCAAATGTTATTTCTGAATTTAGTTGGCATGGATACTAAGTATTCTTCACCAATCGGGGTTATTACCTAGAAAAGAAAAATTAAACATAAGTATTTATGTTATCGCTTTACAACATTACAGTTTCACAATTTATAAAAGTGTTCAATATAGCCAGATAAAACACATGTACCAAATGGCTAATGTATGGGTAACCCATAACATAACTATACACATGGTACACATTTTCAAAGTTAAGACAATTTGTAGGTACTATATAGAGCCAAAGAGTTTGTATGTTTCAACACCCTAATCTTTTAGTATTGGACAAACCCTAGATTGAGAAATATAAAAATGGTATGATTTATAAGGAGCCACGCAGCGAGGGACATTGCACCAAAGTACCTAGTCTACTACATATTTCTCTAACATAATTCCATTAAACAATAAACTTACTTCCAAAATCAAAAACAGAATTCATAGGTTTAGTGAATATTTTATTGATTCAAAAATAGGGGTTACTACTTTGCCACACCCATATATTTACAGAAAAAACAGAACAATGGAACCAGTTATAAAAGCCCAAAAGGTTTTTGAAGTTGCCTTTAGTTAATAAATAGGTTGCTTACCACCAGGCGAGATAGTGGACAAACATCAGGCCCATCATGTATAAAAAAAAACTGTAATTTTATCAACTTCTAAATTAATTATAAAAACAGTCATTATTTCAAAAAGTTCTAATATCCCTTGTTACAGTTAAATGTCATAGAAATTATTCAAAATTTTGTAAAAATAAGGGTTACTTTGCCGCACCCATATTTTTAGGGGATATTTTTAAGGCTTTAATTGATAATTTTGTTCAAAGTTTGCGGCACTTTCTTATCAATGTCTTGGTAACCTATCAGTACTTATGACTTCTAATAGTTACTTTTTAATCTGTCAAACACCGAGCGGTCACCGGTGACCGCGACCTATTGTTCTTTAATTGTGTCTATAAAACCGGTACTCGACGAGTTAATTTTTATGTTTCATTTGCTTTAGTAAGAACTAAAGCCGACTTCAAAAACCTCTTGCTTTTTTATAACTGGTTCCATTGTTGTGTGTTGTTCCCGTAAATAAATGGGTGTGGCAAAGTAGTATTCCTTATTTTTATAACATATTAATCATTCCTAGGACATGTAGCATATAATTGTAGGGGGTAATAACTAGAGAACCTTTTAAACCAAAATAAATTTCAAAATGCCATTTAGTTTTTTTATAATTAATTTAGAAGTCGAAAATATTACAGATATTAAACTGTCAAACACCAAGCGGTCACCGGTGACCGCAACCTATTGTTCTTTAATTGTGTCTATAAATATGGTACTCAAGTTAAATAAAAAATTAAACTTTGGTAGCGTAGGAGTATTTACAGTAGTAAGGAATTTTCTTGGAAACCATTTGTGTCCAGACCAGACTTTAGAGAATACAAGAAAATTTATTTTAGACCACTAGCAAAACCACAAACAAAATATTTATTTTGAGTTC